ATCATCCTCATATTCACCGCTTCTCTCACTACTCCAGTTTTAGTAGAATTATATTACTCTCCCAATCAAATCCCTATGTCATAATTCCAAATCAGGACTTATATGCACAATCCAATGATCACCCTTCCAAGCAAATACCCCACAAGTTGGGTGTAGGGATGTTGGTATTGCCTTAAATGGTGAAAAAGAGATGTTGGTGTTGCCTGTGCCTACGAGAACTTACATGCGCAATTATTCTACTGAACCTTTTGTAACGCTGCTATCACATGTAGTGCTTACACTCTATGATTGGATCTCCTTCCAGGAATTCCTATTCCAGAACCATACTTGCACTTGAACTTTCCACAGAGCTTCGCATTTAATTATGGCCCCATATAGGTTACAGTAGCAAATTCGAAAATTTGCCACCAGCCCGACTTGATCTGTTGACCTTGTCTGTGGGGTTTGAGAGCTTAATTAATAAGCTACGGGACTCAAACCCATATATAAAAGTTATTATATTCTGTGTAGTTGATATAAGTTGAATCTTGTAATAAAGTTTAATTGGTAGTTTATATAACTAATATTTTGGCCTGAGTGAAGCGGAAGCCAGACATTCTGAGAATTCATCAGAGCATGACTATTCTTTATTAAAAATCAATAATATTATCTATTAAGTTAGCTATTATATTTTAACTCAAAATCAGGTATTCAAATATTGAATCTAACTTAACATTTGGATCAGAATAAAACAAGTGCAGACTTTCCAAAAATTTAGTAGAGTAAGACTTAAAAGACTTTCACTTTGCTTTTCTCTACTTTAGGCAATAACTCAAAAAAATTATAATCCTTAAGATCTGTAACAGCATCTCAAAACTTTCTGAAAAGTCACCATCATTATCAGTAACTTGACATGTGGGTTATACTTTGTTTTCTAAGTTAATTTATTATATCAAAAACTTAATTATTTTATTTAAAATTTGATTTAAACATAATATTGTATTTAGGTTATTTTCTTATTTGTTTGTTTATCTTGATTTATATACTTTTCTGTTTTGACTAAACTAAAAAGAGAATATAACAATAATTTTTTTATTTATTAAATATACTTACTTATGATGCATAACTATATAAATTCTTAATTTCACTGATAAACAAATTTTTTTATTAAAAATTAGTTAGTATATTCTATTAAAAGTTAGTTACTATATTTTATGTGTAAATGATTGAAAGTCAGCTGCTATATTTTATAACAATTTATTAAAAGTTAATTAACATATATACTCTATTAAAAATGTATTCTTTTAAAAGTTAGCTACTATATTTTAAACTAAAAATTCAGGAACCAAATATTGAACCTGATTTAGGCTCAAGTTCTGAATATAAAACTAAAATTTAAATCAATATAATTGGGAATGACTATTTCTGAAAATTTGTAATGTATAGCTTGAAGGCTTTCACTACACTTTTCTTAACTTCAGCCAATTATTTATAGCATTTTAATATTGACAGTACATATATATATGTATTTTAGCAAGGTCATGTCTGTTGTGATGGCTTTGTGGCAATAGTTCTACTATATTACTTTTTATATAGTTATTCTGTTTTATATTATTTTTTCTGTATTTTATTATTAATTATTGTAAATAATGCTGAAAACGAATGATGCTGAAAATCACATGATCACATGATGATCATCCAGACAAACAAATGAAAGTGCTTATAGAACCCTAGCATCACTAACCAAAAAATTTCATGATTAATGTTAGAGGTAGGATTTGGATATAATCATATTTTATTTACCCTATTGGAATTAGATGTAATATATGTAAAATAAAAAAAACCTTTCCTACCCTAACCCTAACTCTAATACCAATGGTGATAGTAATGCTAGGTGTTTATGCAGAAGATCATCATGTGATCATGTGATTTTTGTCATAATCCATTTTTAGCATCATCTGCGACATTAATTACACAGCATATATTATTGCTTTCTTTTTTAAAAAAACCTAGTTAGTACTTGTTTAGTAGACTTCCCAAAGTAGTAGGTAAAATAAATTATTACTTTATATTGAAAGAATGTTCATTATAGTTGTTCAACATAGTGTATATAGTTAACATAGTTAACATAGTTAATATAACTAATATAGTAAACATAGTTAATATAGCTAATATAATAAACATAGTAACATAGTGGACATGTTAAATATAGTTAATATAGTATAAGTATATAAAAAACATAAAAAGCTCACCTCTTTGCTTAAATAAAGACTAACTTGGTTGGAGTTCAACATTAGAAAAGTGTTGCTTTACTAATTCCTTTCTAATATATAAGATCTGTAATAACGATTTGAATTAGTAACCAAATCCTGTGATTTTGGAGCTCTAATCTGACACTATTGTTAAGAACCCAATTTATCCTAGTTACTTAGACAAGTCTTTTCACACCTCAATCGAAGCCTTACCAATATTAAGGTTTGGTTGTACTAATTGCGTGTCTGGTTAGAGTAGTGTAGTTAGTTTGGTAGTGTGTAGTTGTATTATCTAGACTCAGTATATAATTTGTACTTTTACACTATATACATGCTCTATTATTATTCATTAAAAATGTGTACTAAACCATCTTATGCTAAGTTTAACTCCTATAGTGATGTGAGAGAAGATACAGAAACTTGATAAAAAATAATGAAACTTGTATTTTCATTAGGTATTTATTAAAAAATAATAAATTATTTATATATTCTTTATTTAATAATGATTTCAGAAAACCTTAGATAACAACTCAGACACCTCAAATATTGACTAGTTGTTCAGTATTAACTAATTGATGTTACTTAATTGGCCTAAACTATAATTTAATCTTTACTTTAACTTAACCTGATTGACAACTAAGATCATAACTAGGGATGGAATTTCCCTAGCCATGGCGAAAAATGTCTAGTCATGTGCCAATGATCATCTGACTCAATCCAATCAAATTCAAACACCCAAGATGATCAACTTTGTCAATTGCACATATTAATATCATCGATTTTATTATGAAGTCTTGTGGCAGTATTTGGTTATAGTGGGTTGTAACATGGAAAAAATGATTCAAATTTTTCTCAAAATTTAATTTTTCTTTTATACTCTTTATGCGGTTAACAAAAAGCTTACTTTTATCATTTTTTCTAAGTACAGTCGTACCTCTCTAAGTGCATTCCATTGGGACCATAGTTAAAAAAATTCAAATTTTGCACTTAGAGAAGGTTTGCATTTATAAAGAATAAAATACTCAGGGTTCTTATAAGTTGGAGCCAAACCGTATCGTACATTTAGAGAGTTTTATATAGTACTGCACTTATGAGAGTGCGGCTGTATTCAAAAATTATTACTGCAAAGGAAAGTATTCTATAGTAGATTCAAGATGAAAATTTTAATTCAATTAACATTTTGAAATAATAAAGATATGTATAATGTATGTTTTTAATTTACATTTTTCTAATATTTTATCTATTAATTTTAAGATATTAGACACATTTATTTTAAAATAAAATTTTAAATCCTAAGATCGTGCAAGAGTCATGTTAGTATAAAAAGTTTTTTAATCTAATTTTATAATTTTTAGCCTAGTAATTTTTTAATCTAATTTTAATTTTATACTGTCAATTTTTTCTATAACTATCTAACAGTTCTGAAAGAAAAAAAAGTCTATTATAGAAAATTATTATGCATTCTTAAGAACTCATAGTACTTTACCGAACTACTATGAAACTTTAAAATTAGGTTTGTTATATTCAGAATTGACTGTAATTGTAATTCTTATCAATTTGGTCTAATTCTATAGATACTATTATATATTTGATGAACTAAACCTTTTATCAATGCAACCAAGCAGCAAGTTTTCTTTTTAACTTTTAGGTAGCTTGTTGTTTATGAGCTTTTAATACTTTTTCGTATTCTTCAATTTCTTTCAATAGTGATGCCATCATTGCACCAAAATTATTAACAAAATTATCATTATCCATCTCTTGCTTATACAATTCTAGAGCAGTATCAAATTTTTTTTTGTATAAGGCATATTTCTCTCTTCTCTTCTCTATTACATTGTGATTTGTTGCTAATGCATCTTGCAAATTATTTGATCCAGCGCTAACTTCATTGGCATCATTAATTACATCTAGTATGCTTAATCTATTCTAAGGGTTGTTTATCGAATTGATAACAGGCATTTTATCATTACAAAAATGATTAAGAGGTAATCATGTCGTCAGGATGTTTTCAAAAAAGTTAGTAAAAATTGATTACTATTTTTTGATATACTAGAAGCTTACAAAGATGATAGCAACTATTTAAATATGCAGGCCAAGAGCATACCTAGTTATGGATATCAATATGATACCTTTCTTCTATATTTGATTGAATATCAGCTATTGCTACTTTACGCCATTCAGCTTTAAATTCATGCCACCATGTGGGAAAGGATCGATTTCCATCATATTGAACTAATTTAATTTCAAAGTCAGGAATGAGCTGTTCAGTTATAATTTGGGTAAGTCTATCTATTCATGGATGGTTATAGTTATATTTGTAATTATATTTAAGAACCCTCCAATGACTTTTTGTAATCATAGTGGTATGTGCAAAGAGTATGGCTTGTAGATATGAAGACAAAGCAAAAAGCTTTCAATCTTTTTCATTATACCAGTTTGACCATAAATAACCCCATAATCTAACGAGGTTGTGTGAATGGCAAAACTGGTATATTTCTTCAACATAAAAACAATAAATCTCATTTGAAATTAAGTAAGAATTTTTTCTAACTAGAATAAGCGGATGCATAGATGAATGTTTTTTAACCATATTTAAAATATAATTAATATAATTATCTGGTCAGAGAGATCCAGCGCTACTTTGAAACCATGATGGGTTGATAACCCCAAATTTATTATGCACTTCTAAAGCCTTAGCTTCAAAGTACATACTTGACTTTAATTTTTTTTCTTTTATTTTTCTATCAATGGCATGCATAATATACTATTAACAAATTTGGATATTAGTAGTCCATGACCAAGCCTCACTAACAGAAGATATTTCTCCTGCATCTTTGTTTATTAATACAAATACAAGTCATAGTCCTTCATTGCGAAGACTAGTAAAAAACATACGTAGCGCCTCAACTCGAGTTTTTATAAAATTTATCATATTATTTCTTGCTATCTCTATACAATCTAAAGTAAATAAGTATATGTATAATATTGGCATACTGTACCCACAACAGTTTAGATTTATAACAAATAATTCAAACTTCTCTTGGTTTGTTTTAAATGTTGAGTCTATAATTATTTCAGTTGTGTTTTCAACACCACTTGTTTAAATCATAGTGTCAAAAATCTCAAGGCTCATACAAAATCATTTTCAATATAGGTAAGAACTTTAAACTCTTTTTCTATAAATTTTGGCTGTTCAAGATATAATTTTGCAGATAAAAGTAGATTATCTTGATTGATTATATATATAATTTTACTATACTTATATATCTAGTAGTATACCTGATCAATCATATGAACTTTTGGGTTAACAAGTTTACTTATACAAAGCTAACGATATGCTTCAGTACATCTTATACTAGATGAAATATTTTGTCAAATCCATTCTTTTGCTTCATTAGAAAACACTATCTGTCAGTATGTTGGTTTTTTATGTACTACATAGTGTTGTCCTTTAACTTATACGTATTGCTCTCTCAGAATAATTGTAAGATTTATATTGCCTGCATATGTATATCTTTCTATAGATACACAGGCTTCACTTTGTCTTTTAGGTGGTTGGTTATCTGGTTTTTTCCAGGCCTGGTCATCTCGCATTGTGCAGCCAAAATATATTGTCACAGAACCAGAGAATTTTTTATTTCAGATATTTAAATATACTTTACGTATTTCCCAGTAGTAATCAGAACCTGACTCAAGTAGTATAATAAGTGCATAAGTAAATTAACGAAAATTAGTTTTAATTATTTTTAAATCTTCATTATTATTTAATTCAAGTGGCATTAAAGAAAAAGCAGTAAGAAGATCGTCTTCTATTTCAATTTCATATATAAAATTGGTAGCTTCATTTAATGCTTCTGCTTCTTCGAATAATTTTTTCATAATTTCACACACTTCGTCCAGATCATATCATAATAATTTTGATTCATTATTATCTGAATTATTATCTGAATTATTATCTAGGTCAATATTTGAATTGTTATCTTCATTCTCATCATTGTCAAAATATTCAGAAAATGGGTCTAGACTCTCTGAATATTCATCTAGATCAGTAATATTTTCATCTTGAGGTATTTCTGTAGTTGACTTTTTTCTTTATTTATTTTTTTTTCAAAGAACATTGATTGCATATAGTACACACTTGTTGTGAGCCACTTCTGTAGGGTGACAGAACTCAACCACATTTTTCGTCTTATTGCAGCTAGTACAATACCTAAGATTTTGAGCAGGAACTTCTACTGGAAAAAAAAATTTTATTATATTAGTAAAAATTAAATCAATACTAATTAATTTTATTTAATTTTATATTTTTGCTCGATTTATACCTTGAATAATTTTGTTATCACTCATTTTACAGTTTTAATAAATTGCTAAAAGATCTGAAGAGATATAAATATGGATCTGAAGGGGTATGAATGTGATGTATTTAGCAAATATAAGATTTGTTAATATTATAATTGAAGTAATTCTTTGTATAATATAGACTGTGTATTTTGTATTTTGACTAAAGTGATTTTAACAATAATTAAGATATTTTTTATTTATTTAATAAAGGAAAAAGGAAATTTTTGTTCTTATCAATCTGAAAGGCAAGAAATCGGTCTTATTTATATTAAAAAATCGTATTACAGTAAGACCTCCATAAGTGCACACTCTTGAGACCGAACTTTAATGACATGCACTTAGAAAACAATAAGAAAAGTGCATTCATGGAAGTCATATTTTGGCCCGAATTTAAGTATGCATTTAGAGAAAGTTGTGTGCTTATAGAAGGTGCACTTACAGAGGTTTCATTGTGTATACTATAATAAAATAAAAGAATTTTGAAAATAAAACTTAAATATCCATGGGAGGTTAGTAAATTATTCATTTAATATTCTGTATTCAAAATAAAAAAAATGCTAAACCAACAATTTTATCCACTTCTAGCTAATTATAAACATTTGTTCATTTAGACGAATTTTGAAAATAACCTTCATGCAATTGAAATAAATCATTGATCTGATTATTTTGCGTTTAAGAAAAAAACATATACTAAACTAACTACTCTTTCACTTCAACCAATAACAATTATTCGTCTGCTTGTACAAACTTTGAAAATTTTTTAGGCATAGTAAGATATTATTCAATTAATTGTTTTGTATTTTAAGAAAAAAAAAGCTATACTAACTATTTTTTGCTCTATTTTTTAAATATGAACAAATCGATTTGAAGATATTTAATTTATCATCTGACAAAAAAAATGTTAATCTAATGACTTGTATTTCTTTAATTGAGAACATGTATACTAATTGTTTTTATTATTATATTTTTTTCATATCTTATGCAGACTAAAATATGTATTTTCGCTTTTTGCTTTTATTGGTTGCATTATGATTCTTAATTTTTTAATATTAAATCATTAATACTATTTTTAGTATTTATTAATTAAATTTATTAAAAGCATAGGTGGTATTATTTATATATAATCAGAACTAACTATAATTATCAGTATTTAATTTAATTAATTATACAGTTAATTTTACTATTTATTTTTAGTAACTATTAATTATATTTTTCTTTTTTTAGTTAATCTATAATTTCTGCAGGATGTATTTTCGTGAAGTCTTTTGTAATTAGAGTTAGAAGAAAAATAAAAAACATTGTATTGCACCGGCTTAATTCCTACTTAGAAGATTTAGTCTCAAGATTTAAGATTTTCAAATAATGTTCAAGACATAGATAAAGAATAAAGTGGATGATAATATGGAAATAAGATCGAAATAAGATGAATTCACCACGAACTAGAGTTTAAGTGAAGAATATAAGTTGATGGTGAAACTTTTAATTTAAAATAATAAT